TCATCTCTGTGTGTCAGAGATGTGTGGAGGAACCTAAGGGCAAATTAGAAAGTGGCAGGTAGTCCTTTGTGAGTCATAGGCTAAAGTGAGTCTGAAATCATAGAGCACCAAGAAGGACCCTTATTATTACCTTTCCCTGTAATAGGGATTGTTGACCGAGTAGTGCCTGATTGAAAATAGCAACCACATTGTAATGGTTCATGTTCAAAATATGTATATTTTATTTTGTGCCTGGTCTTTTTCATACTTTGTTAGACTGTTATATACGTTGTCCAATCCTTGCTTGATTTTCCTGGTCTGGTGCGTTCCCAGGAAAGTTTGCGATCGACAGGAACGTTTCCCGGAGCATATTTTGTTTACATTGCTGACCAGAGTGACAGGGGTTTTAAACACAGACTCCAAGATGAATGAGGCTACTCAGACTTTTCCCCAGAGTCAGAGTGTGTCTCATATTGAGTAACATGTTCGCTGAGCCACTGGATCTGGGACACAATTGGCTGTTTAGGTTCATTGTCCTTGATTGGCTCAGGAAAAGAAACCGCAATGGCTATCTTGTTGCACACTATCTTGTGTTAAACCCTTAGAGTCTAAAAGAGAGTGTCTGGGTGTTTTGTCTGGGCATGAAGAAAAGAGAGAAATCACGTTCAAATGAGATCAGTAAGTTGTAGTCCAGCTGTCTATGGTAATACAATGGCATTGTAGGCTCAGTGACCACTTACACATACTGCTGATGACTTTGCCTGTTAAGCTTGTTAGGGAATAATTATACATTTACTGGGAAATTAAAGAAACAGGCTTTGATATTGTTACACAATTACTAATTATCCCTTCAGGTTGTACATAGTCTGTGTCAAATTAATAAAAAACATTTGCATATATTTAACATATTGTAGGGCTATGTTCAAATACATCCTTCCTTCATTCATTCAGGTTTTGGAAAGGGGCCTAGTAGACTGCATATCTTTCACTAAGACCCACAAGGGTCTGTGTTGTATCTGAACTTCTCTGGATCTCCTACTCTTCTCTCGTGCATCTGTCCCACACAAAACGGATGTCCATGTTAATTTCACTCTAATTCCAAATTAACTAATGACATTTTGTATTTTTATCTTGTTGCTTTGTATCTGACCCTGGATCGCCATTGTGGAGTTAGCCTATAAGCCAATTGAATGACTCATATGTCACATTCGATATTTACTAGGTTTTGCTGGAAGGACGAATTCTATAAATTCTTTCTAGAGAACAAATCTAGAAATTGGAATCAGATAAGTGTTTTGGAGGGAATTTGAATTTTATGGGGATGACAGGTCAACTAAAGTCCTGTCAAGCAACATTAGACTAAATATTTTAGCGATCTTTTAAAGATTGGATTTATGTATTTTCTATAACTTTTTGAGGAAGGTTTATCTGTGTGTGTGACAACACACACACACACACACACACACACACACACAATGAAATCTGCCACTCACGAGCCAAACCCCCAGTCATAAAAAACATTCCCCACAACACCACAGCCGTAAATCTTGGGGTCTTTCTGGTGTGTGATGTTTACCGCTCAGTGAACCACTCGGTGCCAATGACCTCAGTCTGACCAAAGGGGTTCGCTGTGCGTTCCAACCGCCTGACCGGCCCAGCCAGGGAGTGAGCTTAGACCTTCTCCAGCTGGAGAGACTTAAGACTTCCTCCTCCACATACAGACACACACTGATTATAGACAGTGAACAGATACTGTACAAATGTGTAGGACTATGAGAAGACAATTATGTGGGGATGAACAGTGAATCAGTGTAGGGTGTTAGGTGAACTTTGAACTTGTCGCTGCATTGAGGAAAAGGTTTGTCTTAAATACCAGATGATTTACTATGAACCCTTTTAAAAGACACTGCAGACAAGACCATTTCTTCCCTTTTAAGAACAACTTTGGTTTCAGATTACGAAGTTAACTTGGTTTCTTGCTTGCTACCCACCAAATAAAAGTAATCAAACCCTACAACAGATGTTGACGCGGTTTGACAGTTTATGCCTATGAGCAAGATATATTTTTGTGTCCACAACAAGGCTGGAAATGTTGCATTCAGCCCCATGGCAACACAATGAACTGTGTTTTCAGGGTGGTAAAACTAACAATCACCCAAATAAAAACTAGACAGTCAGGGAGAATCTAAAATTCAAAAAATGTCATGGCCTGGGGCCCCCATTGATTTTGTTATAATGTTTGAGTCACTCAAATACAGTAGCATGAGAACACAGCATAAGCCATGGCAAAATGTGTAGAATTGCAGAAAATTTGCTTTAAAACTGAAAATAAATTCTCAGCCCCTGACCAAATGTGTAGTTTTGCAGGAAACTAGCTTTAAAACAGCAACATTTTGTCTGCGGTAGGAGACGGCACCGTTGGCCACGCCCCCCCCCCCCCCAGCCCCCAGCCCCATTGTTTCTCTTTCTCTCTCCCTCTTTTTCTAATTCCATAATTCTCTCTAATTCTCTCTTTCTTCTCGGATGGAGAGACCGAGTCTCTGGACTTCCTCAAAGCTGCTTGGCAAGACGTCACACACACACCCACCCAAGTCGGCTCTGGCCAAATACACAGAGCGTTAATTTGTTGCTATTGTTGTGGTTGGCGTGGTGATGCATTCTTTTAAGCTAGGCTAGTATGATTTGTTTGTGTACACACCGCCGGGGGATCAACTTGGTCGAGGGAGTGGGAATAAATCTTAGATGTGCCGGTCGGAAGGGCCGGGGGGTGATAATGACGGATCATTGGACGGCGGTGGAGGGGTGGGGTGACAAGGGGGGATGGGGGTCAATGGGTCACTGAGAGAGAGCGAGAAGGGGGTGTATGTGTGTGTCACTTCCTGGACAATTTCGCGCTCATTGCCAGGTGAAATGTGGGGCAGCGGGTCGATTGGCTGTTTGGATCTTGGCAGACGTAGAAACGCAGGCAGGGCTCTTAAAGGATTGATTTATCCCAGGTGCACGGAGGAAATGAGGACAGGAGGGAGGGTAGGACGGAGGAAGAGACGCTATGGCTTTGTAGTTTGCTCAGGTCATTAAAGCCCACTCGTCGGTGTAGAACTGTAAACAGTCATCAGTCTTGAGTGCTATAAGCTTTCACACATCCGCCCCCAGCTCCAATACAATGTCCGTCATGTCTATTGGATTAAGGTCACGAAGCGTAATTCAGCATACATCCCTCCCTCTGGCTTTCCAGGAAGTTAATTCTCCTAAGCGCTCCTTCACCTACAGGGAGAATGTCACAGAGTCAAAGCTTTTACTGTCGATAGAGTTTGTCCATCTTCCTATGCTTAACTAGAGTGCATCTTTATGACAATGGCCTTCAGTATTGTTCATTTCGTTCCATGCGGCTCCAGCAAACCTGACCTTAGATCAGGCCCTTTAGGGACAACTTCATCCTATTCTTAAACTGAATCGTATATCTTCATTACTATTCAGACACAGGCCTCAGGAGGGTCGGGGAACAGTCGGCCTGCTAACTTAGAACTAACCTCAGAATGTCCCTTTGAACCAGGTTATGGATTCATCACCTTCAGACCAGGAAGAGAGTTAATAGAACAATGCTCAGTTCTGTATGCTATCGATACTATGGCAAGGAAAATAACACAGGGTGGGGGGGGTTTACAGACATTGATATACCAATGTGTCCTCCATAGGACGGTGTTGGAAAGTCAAGTAGATGTATAGCCTCTTAATGCTTGTTGTCAGCTTGCATTTATTACATTTATGCAGTGTTTATGCGTAATCTCCCACACCCAAAACCTGTGACGCAGTCATAGGTACGAGGCGGTAGCCGAACCAAGGATAGCTAAAGTAGAAAAGAGACTAGCACCCTGGTTGACATACAAATAAACAAATGTTTAGTATGTTTTAGGACACAGCTGACATACAGGTAGATGTCTATGGAGAAAGTGCACTGACAGTCCCCCTGAGACCCCTCTGCAGTAGACCCACCTCCTAACCCTATGGTGGTCCCTGGGCCCCCCGCTACTGCCTCCATGTGACCTTTGAGCCACGGGGTCACGACCCCAGGTGGTAGAGGAACACAGGAGGGAAAACAGGGACACAGAGAGCAACACACAGGACACCCCCTGAACACTACGCAACAAATAATGCATGGCCCTGACATTTACAGTTTTAAGCCAATATGTCCTTGTGCCCCGTTTTGGACATTAAAGCACCTCTGTGTATGTAGATGAGCAATGAAGCTGTGGTAATAAGAACAATAGGACAGTATTCTTTATATTTGAGATGTTATATTTGAGATGTGCAAACCAAATAGCAGAGTAGCTCCACTACTAAAAACTCAAATGTATTTATCTAACCAGATTTAGGTCTCAAAATTCCAATATGTGGAATTAATTACAAGCACAAGTATGTAAGTACAGTGGGGTCTGAAATTATTGACATCTGCTGATAAAGATGAGCAATAATGACTGTATAAAATAAATAATTCAAATACTGAGCTATATTTTACGCTACAAAATTGGGAAATTATATTATTTTATACTAATACAATTGCTCAGAGAAAGAGATTTTAATCATTTTCTTTCAAAAAGGTAGGGGTCAAAATTGACAACCCTAAAGATTCTTATAAATAAAGTAGTCAAAGGTTTAGTATTTGGTCGTATGTATGGTGTCATTTTGGAGTGACCTTATAAATAAGAATAGAATATGTTTCTAAACACTTCTATATTCATTTGGATGCTACCATGATTACGGATAAAGAAAGCTACATTACCAATAACAGGGGAGGTTAGCATGTCTTGGGGGTATGATCTTTGAAACATATTCGATTCTTATTTACAATAAAAGTGGCTCCAAAATGACACAATACATTATTTACCATTAATTTCGATTGGCCACAAAATAATCTGAAACACAACCAAAACGAACTGCAAACGCATCCAACAAGTTTGTAGAGTCACAAGCTTGATATAGTCATTGCGTACTAGGAATATGGGACCAAATACTACACTTTTGACTACTTTCTTTATAAGAATCTTTAGAGGTGTCAATAATTTTGACCCCTATCTTTTTGAGAAAATAAAGTATAAATCTCTTTCTCTGAGCAATTGTATTAGTATAAAATAATATGATGTCCTCTTTTTTTTCCACTTACAATATAGCTCAGTTATTGAATTATTAGGGTGTAAATCATTTTGGACCCCACTGTATGTATGTATGTATGTATGTATGTATGTATGACAGACAGTCACAGCCATCCCTATACCATCATAAATTCAAAACAATAAAATAATAATAATAGTAAAATAGAAATAAAACATTGCAATAATGGTCCAAACTGAATCGAGCATTCAGTTGGAGTTCTTCATTTTCTTGAGTGGTCTGGTGGAAGGTCGGAGGTCGTCGGGGCCATGGGCGAAGGCACACTCCTCGGCCTGCAGTGGGCATCCGTGAGGGTGGTGGGTGTGGAACCAGCAGGCCCGGGTCTTCAGGGCACCAGAGAGTAGAGGCTTCCGCTTAGAATCAGCCCTGGTACCCTGCAGCCCTCTAGGCCTCTGGGCCTGTACCCGCCAGTCCCGGATATGGACCATTCCACCTTCCACTGAGGGAGAGAAGAGTGGACTGACTAGGTATTTTCCAGGCCTGCTGTAATCAGGTTAAAGAAGCATGTCTTGAGAGAGATTGCCAAATGCAAATTCCTTCAAGCTGAGAATGGGAATGATTCCATCGACTTTTTCAAGCATTCATATCTGAATGCGGCATTCCAATAAGCCCTGGATTGCTTCAGTATGTAGACCCAGAGCCAATGATATATAGTTCAGCAAACTTAATAGCCATCATGTTAGCACCAAAGGTTCCAAGATAATTAACCTTATAGTGAGAATGCAAATTAGAACACTATTTACATGTGATGTTTGGTGCCAAAATAGACACTTAGCAGATCTCCACATAGTATCTACTATGGCTGCGTCCCAAACATCCCTACCCCTAACCCTTTAGGCCCTGGTCCAAATGTAGTGCACTATATAGGGAATATGCGTCATTTGGGACACATACTATGGCTCTGGTTAGACCCATTTGGGGCTCAAGCTTCTTTGAGAAGAGTGTCTGGATGTGGAGTTTGTACTGCACGTACCTCTGAAGACCTGGTGGTTGTTCTTGAGCAGGGTCTGCAGACCGCCACACTCTTTCTTCAGGACCTGCAGAGTCTCCTGCTCCAACAGCTCAGCCACCTCTCTCACGGACAGCCTGCCTGGAGAAGGGAGAGCCAAGAGTGCAATTTAGAATGAAAAAGGAGAAGAGGAGAGTGGTTAAGGGTTCAATAAAGGAGGACTAGGACAAAGAGATTAGAAAGCCATAGGAGATGATGGGGTTATGATAAACATGACATTGGCGTTGTGAGAAAATGGCTTGGGTGGGTAGGTGTGACTTTTGGGCTGAGTCCCAAATGGCACCCTTTTCTCTTTATAGTGCACTGCTTTTGACCCTGGTAAACATTTGGAAAGCAGACAGAGATAACAAGGGAGTTGTGCTAAATTAGAACCTCAGAAAATAACTTATTCTCTCAGACAAGGTGTCAGTCAGAGCTGTGAAGTCAATTAAAAACGCAGTCCAACATGCTGTCATAATAACAGAGGACATTTTGCCACCACAGTTCCCAGCGGCCATTTAAAAATAAATCCTGAGTCATTGTTGTCTGTCATTTCCCACCACCATAATTTCCCCACTGAGAAAGATATTAAAACGAACCCATTCCCCATGGGCCTTAGATAATGCATATACATGGCCAAAAACTCTTTAGGTGTTTCCACAATATTTGTAAGCCGAGATATGAATTCACAGTTGAGTTCCCAGCAGAGCAGCTAGCCAACCTTTAAGTTCCATTTCATGGAGATTAAGGTATTTCTTTCTTTGATTTCCCCTTCTCCATGGAGAATTCAATCTGTGTTGACCTTTGGTTCGTATAAATGACAATCTTCTCTCTTTGGCATACGGGAGAACAATTCTACCTTAGGTTCCCTTCCCTCATGCTCCATGTTATTTTATTTGTGTTACATCATATTATAATCAAACCGAGTCGTCGGGGCAACCCATTGTAATTTTTCTGCTGTGGCAAAGCCATTACCATCTTACTAACAAATTACAGCGCAATACTTGTCAATCAATCATCAAGAGCCCTCCACTCTTGATTATCAACTTCAAAACTGTTCTGTTGATTTTGTATATACAGACATTATACATAGCCTACTTAGATTACAGTTATAGTACTGTACCACATGACGTAAGAATTCAAGACACTCAAGTTTTGTTTGCAGCCTGGCACAGTAGCTGGGAATAGTATGCCAACGTATGTGTGAACAGAGGGCAGCAAAGAGCAGTCTGAGGGCAGAGACGCCAGGGAGCCCAGGGCCTTAATGTAATAATACAATGTTTACAGCTGTCCTTAAGATACTATAGCCTACAATGCTAATAGAGATTAACGGGATAAGAGGGGCTATTGACAATGTGGACCTGGACTGGCCTCCCAAACCGTTATTAATGGACTGTCCATAGATAGTGTGTTTGTGTAATGCTGTGGGCTTAAAGCTACACTCAGCAAGGTGACATCGTATTGCTGAATGTATTAAATGGCTCCTAGCAAGATGCTCAGCTAACATAACATTGTATTTATTTAGTGCTATTGTATAAGTGGAAACAGAAATGCTCAAAAACCATTGAGGAATTGTTTTTACCTTGCATTTTAGCTAAGAGTATGCTAAAAAGAGTGCATACTTAAAGTGGAACTGACAGCATATTAGCAACATGAAATCTTGCATGGATCACTGGTGCGGTTGAATGCAGCATTGCTGTATGGTGCACTCAAAATGTATTTTGGTTGAGTAGCCAACCTAGACTACTGCTTACATGTTTCTAATTTGCATGGTGTTTTGTTGCAGGTTATGATATTTGTTACTGATATTATGATTGTCTGTTTGTTTCATATCGGCAACGTAGTTAAAACGCTGTCAGTTCCACTTTAATAGTAGCACTTTGCTTTGCCATCTAAAATGGTACATTGAAACTCGGGAGCTGGCCACTGTCCATACAAGCTGCCCCGGCATAACCTCCCTCTTTTCAGAGCTGCGCTATAAGATAACTGGTAGAAATACCCGACACAAATACAGACTCATGCATAAAATATCTTTCATCATAGTGCATTATTCATCCAGTAATCTCCATCCTGGATTACAGGCTCTCTGTCTCTTCCCCTCTTTTCCTCTCGCTCCCTTTTCCTCTCTCCTACTCTACCTTTCTGTCCCTCTCTGTAATTTCAGTTCTGACAGAGATTCTTCTGTTTTAATCAGACTAGACTTCATCTCATCCATCGTACAGTGGGAGGGGGGAGTGCAGGTGTGTGTTTGTGTGTGTTTGGAGGATGAGGGGAAAGTCCGGAAAAAGGTTGATAAAGGAGAGATGGGGGCAGTGTGTGAATGTGGTGCAGGATGGCGGAGGATGAAACGCTGACAGGGTTCAAAGCAGGGTCGCGCTGCGCCACCAGGGCTTTCCTATTGGTGCTGAGAGAGAACGATAGACAGGGAGAGGTAGAGATACCGAAAGAGATGGGGTGGGTTAAGGGCATGACGGCCCACCACCATTGAGTTCCTGCACACACCCTATCATCCTGAATTCCACTAAATCAACAATACACCATGTAGTACACAGTACATAAATCCAATACACTCCATACTAGTAATGAATCCAAGATCAGATATGTACTTTATTCCTAAACCTGTTATGACCTCAATTACAGCTCATGTAAATGCAGACTGAGTGGGACTTTATTGAATTTTGAGGGAGAGATTACCTTGTGATTTGATTGACAGTTTAGTTATTAAGGCCCATTCTCTTACCTCCCGTGTTCCAGGTGCTGGGGACATCACCACCTTCGTCCTTAGTCAACCCCAGCAGAGAGTTGGCCACACGTAGGACTATACCATCTACAAAGTCCCGGGGAAGGGCGGCACAGTTCCGCACTGTCTCGATCCTCTCTCGGGGCTGGAACCCAGCTCCCCAGTTGGTGCCGTGGATCCTGTCCGTTTCTGAGTGGTTGTGCTCGGCTTCACCCTCAGCGTTTGACTCTCGAACTGTGACCCCGGAGCAGGTCTGACGACCCTGTATATACTTGACTCTGCACTCCTCCGCCTGTGGCTCGTCTGACAGCTGGTAGCTCCTCGACTTTCCCACCAGACACACCTGTAGAGCAAGGGGTTAGATTACAACAACATGAGTGGTTTGCATTAACACGTTAGCATGTACTGTGTGTTCAAGTGTCATTGTTAGCATTAGCATACCCGCTTTGTGGAGGGGATTCTCAGGCAGTCCTCCTCTGTGTTGAACCCACAGGCTGTGCTGACTTCAGAGATGAAGTCAATGTATTCCTTATACTGGGACTTCTTACAGTGTCTCCGCTGGTACTTCCCATAGAAGTCAAAGAAGCAGCACGGCAGGACAAAGTACCGACAGGAGAAGGATGATCTAAAGTGGGAGGAAACTGACAGAAATTACACATCAAAACCATGTGGTTTGGACACAGTTATCAATGTACTTTATTACTGTCTATTCATCCAGGTGAGTTTAAATGAGATATGATAGAACCTCTTTTTTAAAGGGAGCCCTAACCACAGATAGCAGGCAGCATAGAGGTGAGAAAATACCACAAGTACAACGGATGTATGTACAGCTGACTCAAAGTGGGGTGAGAAAAATGTGAGGTTAAGGCAGGAGATGAGGACAATTTAAAATCTATGGAGGTTGTTGGAGTGTTCAAACCAGAACAGGAGATTCAATGCAAAAAGTTAAAGAGCCAAGCTCAACATCGCCACCAGGTGGCTGCCGCATCAGACACGTCGCTTCACACACCTCCATTGCCCCCTTCCCAACCCAACTCATTATTCTTATTTCAAATTCAAGAGATCAGTTGCCACTTGAGGCGGCTAAGCCAAATAGTTTCTGCTGATGACTTGCCTGGCCGCTATAACGGGGATCCACGGTGTGAGCTCGTCCGAGTGGTTTCCAATCAGCCAGTCTGTGCCCGGGAATAAGAAGCCATCACTGGGAGTGATTGCCGTTTCCTGGAATAGAAAAAAAGCCCCCGCCCAAAAGCACAACAGGTCAGAGAGAAGATCAGAGAGAAGCTGACAGTAATTATATATATATTTTTATTAATCATTTTTGAATTACAAATGGCTTATGACACACCCAGCCGCTCTCTATCGCAAAATAACAACTCTGTTGCCAACTTTTAATATTGAAGGAGGATAATGCTTAATGTGATCGTTATCTCATTTCATTTAGTGTCTGGGTGGGTATAAGGAAGGGTGGTCTGAAATACAAAGTTTACAAATTCTGAAAAATACTTTTCAAAGCAACATTTTGTGCCTCTTGCCATGTAGGGTCTAGAGAAATTACTGGTTTTATACTTTTAAACAACAACAATAAAAGTAAATAAGGGATTTCAGGCAAAAAATTGACAACTAAGGAAACTAGTTGAAAGGAAAACACTCAAAAAATGACAAGGAAAAACCCTTCAGGTGTTGGAGACCACTTCCCATGTTCTATACACCCATCATATCCCATCACCGACAATAAGGATACCAGAAAGAATCCTGAGCTGTTAGCTAAAAGTACAGTGTGTCCCTATGGGAACAACTACCTCGCCTAGCCACTTCCTGCCTGGCATACACACAGTGAATAATAGATGCAAGGGAACATTCAGCAGCTTGTCTTCTGATGAAACATTGAAGGCGTGCAGCAGGGGGAAAGTACAGCACAGCAGAGCACAGCGTGTCTAACAACGTGTGGGGTTCCCCGCAACCCCATGTGCAATTCCATGTGTATCTATGGTGGTTTAGACTATATGCAACTGTCATATTACTTCATTTGAAAAGGTGAATGAAATAGTTAATATAATACCGTTATAAGACCTACATATCTTCTGAATGAATCTGGTATTCATAAATATTTCAAATAGTGTGATAGTTTTGTTTGCTTTCAAAAATAGGGGAATACAAAATATCCACAAAGCCCTCAGAATTAAGTTGATCTAGTGCGATTTTAACCCGTTCCACTCACAGCCCCTGTCATCCCGTATACGGGTTGAAAATGGCAGATTGACATTGACAAGTGCCTAAATTGGAATGCAGTGGATGTACATGCTATACATGATGTCAGAGCTCAGGTTCTCCGCTTCACAGCGCCGTATAGGTTTTGACTGACAGTCGCTATAAACTTGAGCACCGCGTGCGACAAGAAGATGCCCCCCCCCCCCCCCATCCCTCCCGCAAATTGGGCTACTTTTGCACATTTGTTGTTGTCTGAGTGAGGGAAATGCTGTAAATCGAGAAGAGTCGGTGTTCTGAAAGATGAGATATTGAGGATTATAATAAATACCGCTTTGATGTCATACAAGCAAACCACACACCCGTGAGTCCAAATATGCATTTCACATTTCCATATTTGAAAACTCATGTCATCATTTACAGTATCACTGTTTATGATCGCTACGTTTGAGCCATAGTTACACGCTTCAACATTAACACCGTACCATTCATGACTGTGTGATCTCACTCTCCAAGGCCGACGTGAGTAAGGTCTTTAATCAGGTCAACACTCGCAAGGCCGCGGGGCCGGATGGTATTCCATTGACTTCAGCTCAGCATTCAACACCTTTGTCCCCTCCAAGCTCATCTCATCACCAAGCTTAGTACCCTGGGACTGAACACCTCCCTCTGCAACTGGGTCCTGGACTTCCTGACGGGCTGACCCCAGGTAGTGAAGGTAGGCAACATCACCTCCGCCACGCTGACCCTCAACACTGGGGCCCCACAGGGGTGTGTTTAGTACCCTACTGTACTCTCTGTTCACCCACGACTGCATGGCCACGCACGACTCCAACACCATCAAGTTTGTTGACGACACAACAGTGGTAGGACTGATCACCGGCAACAATGACACATCCTACAGGGAGGAGGTCAGTGACCTGGCAGTGTGGTGCCGGGACAACAACCTCTCCCTCAACGCCAGTAAGACCAAAGAGCTGATCGTGGACTACAGGAAATGGGGGGGGGGGGGGGGGGCGAGCACGCCCCCATCCACATCAATGGGGCTGCAGTGGAGCAGGTCAAGAGCTTCAAGTTCCTTGGTGTCCAAATCACTAAGGACTTAAAATGGTCCACTCACACACGCACAGTCGTGAAGGCAGCGTGAGAGTGCCTCTTCCCCTTCCAGAAGTGGCGCAGCGGTCTAAGGCACTGCATCTCAGTGCTTGAGGCGTCACTACAGACGCCCTGGTTCGATTCCAGGCTGTATCACAACCGGCCGTGATTGGGAGTCCCATAGGGCGGCGCACAATTGGCCCAGCGTTGTCCGGGTTTGGCCGGTGTAGGCCGTCATTGTAAATAAGAATTTGTTCTTAACTGACTTGCCTAGTTAAAAAAAGGTCAAATAAAATAAAATAGTTGAAAAGGTTTGGTATGGGCCTTCACATCCTCAAAAAGTTATACAGCTACACCATTGAGAGCATCTTGACAGGCTGCATCACTGCTTGGTATGGCAACAGCACCACCCTTGATCGCAAGGCGCTACAGACGGTGGTGCGGACAGCCCAGTACATCACTGAGGCCGAGCTCCCTGCCATCCAGGACCTCTACATCAGGCGGTGTGAAAGGCCCGGAAAATTGTTAAAGACTCCAGCCACCCAAGCCATAGACTGTTCTCTCTGCTTCCGCACATCAAGCGGTACCAGGGCATCAAGTCTGACACCAACAGGCTACCGAACAGCTTCTATCCCCAAGCAATAAGACTGCTAAATAGCTAACTGAATGGCTACACGGACTACCTGAGTTGACTTGTATTTTATTTTTTCACTGTCTCTAAGCACATTCACAGGACTCTACATACTCACACACACTGACACTCCAACACACACATTACATGCACACACATTTTTTACAGACTCTACACATACAATCATAATTTACGTTGCTGCTACTCTGTTTATCATATATCCTTATGCCTAGTCACCTTACCCCTATACATATCTACCTCTATCACTCCAGTATCCCTGTACATTGTAAATATGGTATTGGAACTGACCCTGTATATAGCTTCTTACTTCCTCGTGTTCTTCTTATTTTATTTATTGTGTGTTTTTGTTCTACCTTATGTTATTTTTAGTGCTAAACTGAAAGTATTCATATCCCTTTACTTATTCCACATTTTGTTGTGTTACAGCCTGAATTCAAAATGGATTAAAGATTATTTTTCTCTCACCCATCTACACACAATAATAATAATAATATAATATGCCATTTAGCAGACGCTTTTATCCAAAGCGACTTACAGTCACGTGTGCATACATTTTTACGTATGGGTGGTCCCATAATGACAAAGTGAAAACATGTTTTTAGACATTTTGGCAAATGTATTGAAAATAAGTATTCACACCCCTGAGTCAATACATGTTAGAATCACCTTTGGCAGCGATTTCAGCTGTGAGTCTCTAAGAGCTTTGCACACCTGGATTGGACAATATTTGCACATTATTCTTTTTTAAATTATTCAAGCTCTGTCAAGTTGGTTGTTGATCATTGCTACACAGCCATTTTCAAATATTGCCATAGATTAAAAAAATTAAAAATTAAAAGAACTCCCTGGTCTTTGTAGTTGAATCTGTGTTTGAAATTCACTGCTCGACTGAGGGATCTTACAGATAACTAACTGTATGGTATACACTATTATTGGACAGTGAGTCCATGCAACTGTTTTTGCTAGCACACACTGTCCATGCAACTGTTTTTGCTAGCACAGACTGTCCATGCAACTGTTTTTGCTAGCACAGACTGTCCATGCAACTGTTTTTGCTAGCACACACTGTCCATGCAACTGTTTTTGCTAGCACAGACTGTCCATGCAACTGTTTTTGCTAGCACAGACTGTCCATGCAACTGTTTTTGCTAGTACAGACTGTCCATGCAACTGTTTTGCTAGCACAGACTGTCCATGCAACTGTTTTGCTAACACAGACTCTCCATGCAACTGTTTTTGCTAGCACAGACTCTCCATGCAACTGTTTTTGCTAGCACAGACTGGAATATGTTCCGGTATTCTTCCGATGACATTGAGGAGTACACCACATCAGTCACTGGCTTCATCAGTAAGTGCATTGATGACGTTGTCCCCACAGTGACCGTACATACCCCAAACAGCTAATCAAATGGCTACCCAGACTATTTCTGTTAGAAACATTTCAATTTGTCCCTATCCATATAGGTCAATTTCCACAAGTGTAACGGTACTACGGAAGACTCATGCAGTATCTACCCCTAAATCAAATAGTTGATCTAGGCTGAGTTTCATATAGCCCTTCCTCACCTCTAGATGTGTTTGTGGGCCGTACATATCCCAGATCTTCCTTTTCCTCACGTCGATGCCCTTTCCAGGGTGCTGAAACACAAGTAGGCATGATGGTCAGTCCCTAATCACTTCATCAAAATAACATTGTGTATAGTAACACACTTTCCACCTACCCCGTGTGTAATTTCAATTACGGCTATCCAGCGTTTTGATTGGACGTTAAATCACATCACTGATTAAATGGAACATTGGCATGGAATTGGCACAGATTAAGTCTGCGTCCCAAATGGGATCCTATTCCATTTATGGTGCACTATGGGGGCCCTGGTCAAAAGTAGTGCACTATATAGGGAATACAGTGCAATTTGGGACGCATCCTAAAGCTTTTTACGACTCGCCGGCTACCCTGTCATTGATTAAGCATCTAGTGGACATTTGGAAATTAAAGGAGCTCTGCTAGAGAGGTCAGTTTTCCACATGGAGTATTTCAGCCCGTAGTCCTGGTGTTACTATTCAGTACCGGGGCATATCAGGTTCTGGTGAACCTAGTGTACTGTTTATCACACATACCCCTTCATTGCTTAGTATGTGAACCAGGAGACCATTTCCACAACCAAGATCCACAAAGGACTGTTTGGCGGTCAGACCCTTCTCTGCTCGCTCCTCGCCCCATAGGACCTGTGCATTAATAGACAATGGTGTTACTGTCATTAGAGTTGGCATTTTACTCATATTAGCATTCCGTCAAATACATTGTCGTAGTTACTGTCCATGTAGAGAAGAGACCTACCAAAAGATAGGTAGCGATGGCAACATCTTCAAAGACAAACTTTTCTGGATCAGTCACTTCAGGCCAAACCTACGCAAAGACAAATATATTCATGCGTTCAGGACTGTTTTGACAAATCTATACCATTAAAGACAAGACATTGACCATTAACTATTAACCATACCTTGACCATACATTCACCATATTAACCATTTATTAACCATACCTTGACCATCTCCTTGTACTTATCCTTCAGCTGTTGGTACATGGTGCTGTACATCTCTACAGGCAGGAGGGACAGGGTGCTCTTGAACTCACTGATCTTACTCTCCGTGGCCCAGCGCACCAGTTTGGGCAGGAGCTCCCCACCGAGCCAGGGCAGTTTGGGGTAGGCCACCCCGTCACTGAACCAGTCACCAGGCCGCATGAGATGTAACTCTAGTGTCCTGGAGATGAGATTACAGAGCAAACCAATGTAGACAATGTCCAATGTGTCCATGCATTTCTGGATCAATGGAAGGGTAGGTGAAGAAGCGACACTGAGATTAAACATGGAAACACTCACCATTCATCATTCTTCTCAGCCAGGAGCTGTATCTGATAGATGTTGTTCTTCCGTAGAGAGGCAGTCCCTTCCGCACTCTCTTCAACTGGTAAGAAGCTTACTCTTTGAGTGTCAAAATCTGAAAATGTCGAGTAAAAAAATGTCACACATCAGACTGTATTCAAATACATATATTGCGTACATGTTGTAAAGTCAGCCAGAACTCAATAATAAGCAGCTTAAACATCAGCTGAATGTCATTAACGCTTACCTTTAAGTATAATGTCTTTATGTACAGTTGTGCCATAACAGTTTACTTTAGGAATGAATGTCCTCACACAAAAAGACCACAGTCTCTCCTTGTCATGTTCAACGCCACTATTCAAGAAAGTAAGAACATCCTTCGACTCTGAAGTATCACTTCCATGAGTTAGCAGAATGTTTCTAATTTCTTCAAAGTCAACATTCTTGCTCTGTGTCTCTTTGACTCCACAAAGACGTTTGTTCACAACGTGTGGTTTCTTTATCCAAACATCAATGGCAGACCAAAATCCTCCCGTATTAGATTTGTCTGTAAACTTTACCTCAAAGAGTTTCGGCATAGTTTAGATAAGAGTAAATTGCATGCCACCGCAGCATGATAAAATGCTAACGTCTGTTTACAAAAATCACATCCGGGGACTTTTACTTTTAAGGGATTTTGTCGCATGTCGATGACGTCATGATAGAACGCATGATAGACCATATGGTTGTTCGAAAAAGAGGCAGCAGAGCGTGCTGTTGTATCGTTAATCTCAACATTTTTAATTTTAATTTTTTTAGCATTATTCTGCTCCCAAACACCGTTCAAGCGGACATACACTACATGGCTTCGGCTATTTCAGTCACATCCGTTGCTGACAGGTGTATAAAATCGACCACACATCCATGCAATCTCCATAGACAAACATTGGCAGTAGAATGGCCCATTCTGAAGAGCTCAGTGACTTTCAACGTGGCACCGTCACAGAATGCCACCTTTCCAACAAGTCAGTTCGTCAAATTTCTGCCCTGCTAGAACTGCCCCGTTTGGAACTACTGAGTTCCAAACGGCCTCTGGAAGCAACGTCAGCACAATAACTGTTTGTCGGGAGCTTCATTAAATGGGTTTCCATGGCCGAGCAGCCACGCACCATGCGCAATGCCAAGCGTTGGCTGGAGTGGTGTAAAGCTCTGGAGCAGTGGAAACGCATTGTCTTGAGTGATTAATCACGCTTCACTATCTGGCAGTCTGACGGACGAATCTGGGAGAATGCTACCTGCCCCAATGCATAGTGTCAACTGTAAAGTTTGGTGGAGGAGGAATAATGGTCTGGGGCTGTTTTTCATGTTTCGGGCTAGGCCCCTTAGTTCCAGTGAAGGGAAATGTTAACGCTACAGCATACAATTACATTCTAGACGATTCTGTGCTTCCAACTTTGTGGCAACAGTTTGGGAAAGGCCCTTTCCTGTTTCAGCATGACAATGCCCCCGTGCACAAAGTGAGGTCCATACAGAAATGGTTTGTCGAGATTGGTGTGGAAGAACTTGACTGGCCTTCACAGAGCCTTGACCTCAACCCCATCGAACATCTTTGGGATGAATTGGAATGCCGGCTGTGAGCCAGGCCTAATCGCCCAAAATCAGTGCCCGACCTCACTAATGCTCTTGTGGCTGAATGGATGCAAGTCCCCGCAGCAATGTTTCAACATCTAGTGGAAAGCCTTCCCAGAATAGTGGAGGCTGTTATAGCAGCAAATGGGGGACCAACTCCATATTAATGCCCTTGATTTTGGAATGAGATGTTTGACGAGCACATACTTTTGGCCATGTCCACATACTTTTGGAAAATTGAAAATATGTGAAATCAGCATGCAAAAAAACAACACAAAAACAAGTGTGCTCTCACACCAATGACTAATCTGGGTTATAACCTTTTTCTCTTTTGCCTAGGCCTATGCTTTATTATGGGCGAAAGGTTCAGTACACATAATTGCTTTCTGTATCAGAATGTAGGCTGGCCCTCTTTGAAGTCTTGTAGATCAATGTTTTTTGTTTGTTTATAAAGCCCTCTTGCAAAAATGTCCACAGATGTACAAGCTACAGGACGCTGGCAACCTGGTCTAAGAGCATCAGGGATGGCTAACTCTGGAGATCCCTTCGATCTCCACTGTTAGGTAAATGCCTCTAGGGCAATTCAGAAGGCTGATAGAGGACCTTTTTACTGCAAAATGTGTTTGTTTTATATGATTGTGTTTTGTTTTTCGTGTATTGATATGTATATTGTATATTGATCTGTATTGATGTGCATGTTTGATACAGGGCTCATTCGTAAAAGAGACCATGGTTTCAGCATGACTACCTGTCAATATAAAGGTTGAATACAAACATTTAAAAAACAATTTGCCCCAGTCTCCCATACTAGCAGAGCAAGGAAATTCCGACAAGCGCTGAATATATTTTTCAACAAAAGTAAAGGACAGTAATATTATGCAAAAAAATAAATAATAATATTATGAGTAAAGTAGAAAGCACACTTTATAAATGTGTATGAAATGTGTAATTAAAGGAGTGTGGATATTTGGCGTGGCGAAGTGGTTTTATGCGTCGACTGAACAGAGCCTGATAATTATGATTTTTTTTTTACTACGCTGCTCTTGGGTGGTCTTGAATGTATCTCCATTCCCTTTCTAGTGTGTTGTGTATAGAGAGAGGGATGGAGGTGACTGGGAGGTACTGTACCACCAGTACCAGGAAGTGCAAGGTGCAAGGAGGGGGCACTCCACTGTGTTTCTGCCTGGGTTTACATTCAAATCAGAGGTCATGTGAGAGGCAAAAATCTAGTCAGACTGGATATGCAGGATCAGACAGGTATGGTTAAGAGAGAGAAAGAGAGTAGTTAAGAGAGAGAAAGAGACTCGTTGTTGCTAGCGAGTTTCGGCATCATCCAAACAAGGCATGCAAAAGGTCAATGGACATAGAAGTACCTTGAGACTATTATTGATAGAATGAAACAGCAAAATGTTTCACCTTATACTATTTTACCAGATTTTCCACTTCATCGTCAGAATTTACAATGCCCACATTCAGGGCCATTTGTCCACACTAGACATGCTGTGTTATTCAAACACTGTACAAATAATAATAATATGAAAATAGACGTAAAAAGGAGGTTGAATCAGATTAATGTTTTGGGCAAATGAGTAGAAAATATTATACCACATACATGATATGACAATGTATGATTATTAATGCCTATATCATTTAATTAATGTGTGATTGCACGACATTATGTGTCATATATTATTGTGAAATAACAATTATTTTATGTGTAGGCAGGTGGCTAGGCAATTGTTGTACAAGTGGAAATTGAATAGGGGTGGAGTGAAAATACTTGGAAGAGGCGGAGAGAGCACTGTGGACAGGTAGCCCAAAAAACACTGAATGCTGTTGCTAAAGTTTTTTGAGACACCGGTTGAAGAGAGGATATTTTGGTATGAGATGAAAATACAAAAGTATGATCATTTATTTATGAAATGAAGAAAAACAGTATGGCACGTGATGTGGATTATCCGTAGGCGTAGGTCTATCGATCCTATTGGGACTACTTTCATTTGTTGTAGCATATCCGAAAGCTGGGTTCATAAATAAGAAAGATCATGTCCCCGGTGGACCGTGGGTCATTTTATTGACGGTTAGTATTTAGCACTTATCTATGTTGACTGAACTTCCGTATCAACTTACCACACCTTACAGTAGCCTTGCCCTACACAATAATTCCACAGTCTTTATTCTAAAAGACAAAACCATGGCATCCCACAACTACAGTAGACTATGTTGTATTCACTAATACATAGGCTAACACCTGTAGGTCTACTTTCATTGATTGATCAATTATTGTGGACTGTTCTGCCCTCCCCTTTTACTGGTTTAATATGAAATCCTGTGTAACAAATGAAAGAGTTACTTTTATGGATAGCTAACTCATATGAGAAAAAATGTCAAGGACATTTTGATGGGCAAGAATTAATAAATAAATACAATATTAGAGAAAGGCTTAATTGTTCTTGAACGTGCTTCAGTAAGCTCCAAGACATACCTTTGAGTGCATGAACCAGATAATTCAGAGCCTTATGTTCCAAGTTGAGAAATGGATAATCATTTTAATGCTGACCTAATAGATTACAGTTGTGCAATACTTTCATTTTCATATAGACCTACAGATGGCAATTCCACAATAACAGAATGACTCCTATTTTTCACTTTTAAAGTATGCCAAACAAAAACATTTATTACAAAGTTAAACAAACCAACAAACTCTATGCACAGGGAGTAATTTGAACAATTTCCACTAAACATTTTACAAAAACACATTTACTTGAAAAACAGTGCAGATGTAAAGTTTGGTAACAGAATGGGTAAAATCTCCCCCAGTTGTATTATTCTACACAGTGGCTGTTATTCTAATGAGGTCCGATTTAGTAAAATAATGAAGTGTTTTAATCACTTAATAAATCCTAAACCAAATTTGTATCAGTAAAAACACTATGTAACTATTTGGTAGGTCTACCGCTACTTGTTACTTCTGTGAACTTTCATTATCCTCCCTCCTCATGAGGGAGAGAAATGAGAAAATACTGTATCTTAAAGATATGTGGGTTTTTGGTAACAGAATGACAACACACTAGGCAATATTTCTTAAACTTACAGAAGGCAAATCATTTCTGCAAAACAAAATATACATGTTGATATTAGCTGGCAGGGTTCTTTCAACATTGTTGTGTTTTGATGTATTTCTAATACCTTTTAACACTTTTTCTACTAGATGTTTTCTAAGACCCCTTTTCCAATTGTCTCATTACGCACACCTGGTTCCCATTTCCCCTGATTAGTATGTGTATATATGTGCTCTCTGTAATAAAAAAACCTAATACGTATTCCTGCGCCTGTCTTCTAATCATTATACAACGTGACAAATATATACTCTTAGCTTTCATTTGACACCAAATTTGATGTGCTCCCATAAACTTCATGTTAGTGCCCATGGGTCCTTTTGCATAGAAATTCCCAGGGGTTGATGCATTTTTCATAAGTAAAAATCAAGTCTGAAATCTCTGTGTTTGGTTGCTCATGTGTCTTTACTACATAATTACAAACTTCAGAAGCCTTTTTAAACCTCAAATACACAACAAGTTTTACATTTCCTGCATTTCATGAAAGTTCTCCTGCAACAGGGTGATCAAATTAAGATCCTACATCTGTACCAGCGAGCTCAGGATAAACTCCTCTTGACAAATAACTAGTGTATAGCTTTTGAGTGTAATGCTTCTCAATTTAAGCATGAATTTGGATTTATGAACAAATACTTATTCAACTAGGGCCATAGGCAAAAAGTTATCTCATTGCTGAGAGAGTTTGGTGTTACAGTGCATATTCAGGACTTCATGTGTACCTGAAATAATTACTCTACTTCCAGGAAACTTCACAGTGGTCAGAGATTGCTTGAAGGCACTCCCTTTGTTGACTGATGTAGATTGGTGACAGTACCGCTTGGGTCAGTCAGTCAGTCCATGCATTCTCTGTTACAAGAGCCTTTCTCTATAAGGAGACATTATACAAGTTTATTGTGTTATTATGATTCTTTGTCAAACTC